TCTGTCCACTACATGTGTGCCTGGTGACTGAGGAGGCCAGAGGAGAGCTTCAGATGCCCTGGAACTGGAGTGGCAGATGGTCATGAGCTTCCATGTAGGTGCTGGGAATCATACCCAGGTATTCTGGAAGAAGAGCCAGTGCTCAGTGCTCTTAATTGCTGAACGATTTCTCCAGCCCCAAGGAATACTTTATGTGGTTTATTATAAAAATGCATTGTGTTTATTTGGGTGTTTGCGTATGGGCACATGCCACACATGTGAGGTCAGCCTGCAGAGTTGGTCTGTCTTTCCACCTTATGGGTCCTAAAGCTTGGCAGCAAGAGCCTTTAGTTGGTGGCCCGTCTCACCAGCCTGTATGTGAGCCTTTTGTTCATCTTCTCAATTGTTTTTCAGCTAGTGTCTCACTGTGTAGCCCTGGCTGACTTAGAACTCACCATGCAGACCAAGCTGGCCTCAAACTCAGTAGTTCCAACTTCCTTTTCCTCCCAGTGCTGGAATTAAAGGGGTTTGCCGCCACCAGCAGCATTTTTTTTTTTTTCCTCCTTTTGAGACAGGGTCTTGCTGTGTTACCATGCTGCATAGAACTCATCACTGTAGCCAGGCTGGCCCAGAATCCAGTATAGCCCAGCCCAGACTAGAACCTAAAGAAATCCTGCTGCCTCTGCCTCTGCCTCTGCCCACAGTTTACAGGTGTGTTCCAGCACACCTGGCTAAAATATTTTTTCATTAGAACTGGGCAAAGGGCTTGTTGCAAAATCCTGAGGACCTGCATTCACATCCCCAGAATCAATGTAAAAAGCCAAGGATGATGGCATGTGCCTGTAATTCTAGCCCTTGGGGGGGGGGGGGGGGTGAATTCCTGAAGCTCATTGGCCAGCCAACATACCTGCCAAATCCGTAAGTTTCTGGTTCAGTAAGAGACTGTCTCAAAAACTAAAGATGGAAAGCAGTTAAGACAATTAACACACACATTCACACTCACGAAAATATTTCATTGTCTCAAAGAATAGCCAAATGATTTACCACACTAGGGGGAGTTCTCTATCTCCTTTCCAGTGAGTCTAGCTTCAGTAAGCTTTTGCTGGTTGCTGTTAAGTTCCTTGTTGATGTTTTGTTTGGGTTTTTTGAGACAAGATCTCTCTACATAGCTCCAGCTGGTCTATTATGTAGACCAGGCTGGCCTCCAACTCACAGAGATCTATCTGCCTCTGCTTCCCAAGGGCTGGGACTAAAGGTGTGTGCCACCATACCTGGCTGGTAAATTCTTTTTAACATATACATTTATTGATTTATTCATTTATTGGTGGTATACTAGGCAAGTGCTCTCCTACTGAGCTCTCTATCCAGTCCTTTTTGAATTTCTCACTAAATTGACCAGGCTGGCCTTGAACTTAAGTCTGTAACCTAGACAGACTTAATGTGATACTCCGGTCTCTCAGTCTCCTACCTTACAGACTTTCACCACCAGTCCAGGCCTAAATGCATTTATTTCCTTTTTTTTTTTTTTTAATTTGTTTATTATGTATACAGAAGAGGGTGCCAGATCTCATTGCAGATGGTTGTGAGCCACCATGTGGGTGCTGGGAATTCAACTCAGGACCTCTGGAAGAGCATTCAGTGCTCTTAACTTTTGAGCCATCTCTCCAACCTGCATTTATGCTCTTAAGATTATCCTGCCATGCTGACTTAGCCTTGAACTTGTGACCCTCTTGCCTCAAACTCCCAAATAGCTTTCTATAAGCATGTGTCCTACCCATCCCCAATGATTTTTATGGTGGTACTGGGGATTGAGGGTTTTTTTGTTTGTTTGGGGGTTTTGTTCTTTGGTGGGTCTGTTTGTTTTTTTGTTTTTGTTTTTTTGGAAACAGGGCTTACCACAGCCACTCTGGCTGTTCTGGAACTCACTCTGTAGACCAGGCTAGCCTCGAACTCAGAGATCCTGTGTCTCTGTCTCCTGAGTGCTGGAATTAAAGGTGAGAGCCACCATCACCCAGCTGAATTCAGATCTTTACATGCATTACTCTACCACTGAGCCGACCATTAGCCCACAGGACTAACTTCATTACCTTAACCCAGTTCTAGACTCTGAGGAAGGTGGAACTGGGGTTGAAGAGCTGTAAATCTTGAGCAGTAATAGGCAAGCTTTTTTTTTTTTTTTTTTTTTGGTTTTTCGAGACAGGGTTTCTCTGTAGCTTTGGAGTCTATCCTGGACTAGCTCTGTAGACCAGGCTGGCCTCGAACTCACAGAGATCTGCCTGGTTCTGCCTCCGAAGTGCTGGGATTAAAGGTATGCGCCACCACCGTCCGGTGATAGGCAAGCACTTTCTATAAAGGACTAGGTAGTGCCATTTTAAGTTCTGAAAGACATGCAGCTGTTACAACTTTCTGCTAATTTCGTACAAAAGTAGCCACATACAACACATAAAGGGACGGTAATGACAGCAGTTTGTAGCTGCATATTGGAAACATCAGAGGAGCCCATAAAATCACACACACCCAAGCTTTTTTCCTATGTAGCTCAGGCTGGCCTTAATTAAATCTTTAATCCTCCTGCCTTCCCCTCCAAAGTGCTGGGATTATACACGTTCTATCACACATAGCTAGAAAGTGGCTTTTTAAAAAAAGATTTATATGAATATCTTGCTTACATGTATGTATGTGCACTTGTGCAATCCCAGTGGCCAAGGAGGTCAGAAGAGCCCGTCAGGCCCCTGGAACTAGAGTTAGGTTAGGTTGTGAACTGCCATCCATGAGGGGCCTGAGAACCAAATACAGGTCCTCTGCAAGAACAAGTGCTCTTATATTTTGTTGTCCTGGAACTCACTATGTAGACCAGGCTGGCCTCAAACTCAGAGATCGGCTCACCTTTGCCTCCTGAGTGCTGGGATTAAAGGCATGCACCACCACCTGAGCCAGAATAGGCTCTTAAGTCTTGCTATGTTACCCAGACTGGCCAGGAACTAAACTCCTGGATTCAGTCTCCCAAGTAGCTGGAACTGAACACACCTAGCTCCAAGATTTTGGTTTTGTTTGTTTTTTTAAAATTTATTTAACTTTATGTGCATTGGTGTGTGAAGGTGTCAGATCCCCTGGAGCTGGAGTTACAGACAGCTGTGAGCTGCCATGTGAGTTCTGGGAATTGAGCCTGGGTCTTCTGGAAGAGCAGCCAGTGCTCTTGACTCCTTGAACCATCTCTCCAGCCCTGCTCCAAGATTTTGTAAAGCTATTAGGTGATTATTTGATATGCATTCTGGGCTGGAAACTGCCGTCCTAGGTCAACTTCAGTTGTTCAACAAACTGCTTTAATTGGGGAGTAGGAAACAGATAAATGGACAAGGATCCCAAGATAAACACTGAGAATTAGATTACTATTGGAACCATTTTTTGTCCACCTGACAAATGAAATGCTCTTTATTTGAGTTTTTCATGTGCAAAGCACCAGAGACTTGCCCAACCCAGCAAGGTGGTCACGAGAAGGGTCACAACCACTAAGCCTTCCACCTAGCCCTCTTTCTCCAGCCATTCCTTATAGGCCCCAGCATAGTGTCGAGCCCTGTGGAGAAAAAGAGGGAAGAGCAGGTCCAGGAGGCAGTCCCCGGTCAGTTCCCAGTTAGCAAGCCTTACGACGACGACGCCTCGTCATACCCTGTATATCCAAGACCCTGTGCCAGCTCTGTGGCCTGGAAGCCCCGCTTGCCCATCTGACAGAAGAAAACAAGATTCTTGTCTTCAAGCTTTGGCTTCTCAGCACTGTACAAGGCTTGGAAAGCAGCTGGGTCCATGGTCAAGGCGGTTTCCAGCTCAGACACTGAGAGGACAAAATGGAGAGCCAGTGGCACATTGGGGTTCACAATATGGGCCTCAAAGAGCTGGGTCCTGGCCAATCTGCAGAGACTGTCCAAACATATGGTGGCCACCCTCCACCCCATGCCAACCTCAAAGACAAGGAACAGCCGACTAGTGTAGCAAGTTAGGCCAACAATGCAGCCACTTTCTGAGTCCTAAGGAGGCAGTAGAGGATCAGGTGGATTAGGGAATCCAGCTTCAGGCAGGTCAAGTATATAGCTGCTGACTTGCCCCTCTGGCTGCCTGCTATCCCCTCCAACTGGATAAGCTAGTTCCACTGCCAGGATTCTCCATTCAGCTTTTCTCTAGGGAACCTGAGTGCTGGCCTGAGCAAATATAAGGCCCCACTATCTCTACCAGCATCGTCCCTACCCTAAGTGAGGCCCCTTTAGCTAAAACCATCATGGGCTGTCCCTCTGCCAACACAAGAAATCCTATACCAGGGATGTTGAGTGCCCCGGGAATGGTACCAGCTTCTGCCTCCTCCCGAGATCGAACATCGAAGAGCCGGGCCCTGCCTGAGGCTAGGAGTGAACGGAGTTCAGAGAACGAGACTGTAGGCACTGAGAAAGAGGACACGAAAGAACTGAGGCTGGGGGGCCGCACTTGTGGCCCGTGCAACCCCCCCCCCCCCCAAGCTTCCCGACCCAGTGGAGTTGTTCATGAGGATCGCAGCCACACCCCTATGCTCCTCTCCCCACAAACAACTCTATCCCGGGGACCGCATACACAACCTCACCCCCACATCCCAGATACCCTCACGTCCTTCTCAGGTACCTCCAGTCATGGTGCCAGCAGCAGCAATTGTGTGACGGAGATGCAGGAAGGCAACCCGAAGCATTTCCCCTCCCTCCCTGAGCCCAGCCAGGGAAACCGGAACTGGAAGCAACCTGCGGCCCCTGGCTGGCACCCACGCAGCGCCCCAGTAGCACCTGTTGGCGATACCTCTAACCCCAGTCCACAGTTGAAACCTTTAAAGACTGCAGTGTAGGCCGGAAATGACATCCAGGCCTGGCACAGGTGCCAGGACTCTGGGTAATCAGTACAGGAATAGTCGCACCCACCCAAAGGTTAACCCAGGCCTCACTGGTCAAAGGCTAATATGCACTTTCCCTTCCCCCAGAACCCCATAAAAGAAGGAAAACAGACAACCGTGGCTCTAAACAATTTTATCTTTTAAAAAAAAGAGAGAAAGAAAAAGAAAAATAAAAAGAACCATCCCCAGAAGGGGAAGGCTCTCAGTGAGCCCCTGCCTATGTTTCTCCCTGGCTTCAGAGACTTCTGCAGAGGCTCAGTTGCTCACTGGCCCCTCCTCTATTCATGGGATAGCAGCCACCTAGCCTCCTTCCCCACCTCCTGAATAAGCCTGCTCCCCAGAGTAATCAGGTGCGTATCTTAACTTCTGCTCCAGGAAAGGAAGAGCCAGTGGAAGTGCCGGACCCAGAGAGTGTGCACAGACCCTCTGCTGGGCACTCTAAGCAAGCACAAGGCAAGCCCAGATTCGGTGTGTCCAGTGTCCACGGATACAGCACATGCAGTGTGCAAAAGGAACACAAGGACCCGGGGACTACATGGGGGGAGCGGGCAAGGCGGTCAGTACACGTCCACTTTGTGTTTCACACCACTCACTGCAGACCGACACACCACAGGGCCTCAGTTCAAAGCCACGCTTGCCAGACTGCCCCGGTCCCATGCCAGACGTGGGCAGTGAAGGAAAGGGGCATGGGATTAGCCTGTTGCTCCCGGACTCTCAGCAGTTCTAGGGCCCAAAGCCCCCGAATCCCCATAGTTAGTTGCTGTCGTTCTTGATGACGACCTCTAATCCGTGGTGCCGTAACTGAGCCCGCAGTAGCAGGTTCTTGTTTTTAAGATCTTCCACCTGCACAGAAAAGGAGGCCATAAGGGAAATGGCAGAAGAAGAAAAAAAAAAAAAAAATCGACACTGCTAAGCCAAAAACGTAGTCACACACCCAGTGCCGAGAAGGACAATGTGAAGTGTTTTCTAGGGACTCCAAACTGGGTCAGTGGCTACAGGGTTGCGGAGGGGCCTGTCGTGGCATTTGCCTGACCTGTTGTCGAAGCACGTCGTTGTCCAGCTGCAGCTGATCCAGCCCCTGCAGCTCCTCGGACAACCGGTGGTTGCTCTGCCGCAGCTCCTGGATGTAGTCACAGGCTTTGGAGAGGATCCCACCTTTACTCTGCAAGGCAAAGTCAACGAATGAGCACGGAGGCCTAAAACGCCTCGCTCGCTTCCCAAGAGCACGTTCACACTTGTGGCTTGTCCCGTCCCCCCCCCCCAACAGTGAGACAGCATCTCGGAGTACTGTGAGAAAAGGGCGGCCATGAACGCTCTACTCGCCACCATTTCTGAAAACAATCCCAGGAGACGGAACTCCAGCCTCCTCCTCCTCCCTGCTACCAGGGTCTTTCCATGACCTGGCCAGACTTGGTGCTCTCCATTGAGCAGTCTGGGATGATTTTGGACAGCTGCACAATCCAGTTGTTGATCTTGTCCCGGCGGCGCCGCTCCACTGTGGGACAAAGTGGAGGACACAGGGACTCAGTGAACGACCAGCCCTTCCTGCCCTCACACAGCCCACAAATCTACTGAGGTTGCTCCTGGCTTCGCACCTAGCTATCCCCTACCTTCATTATGTTGAGCCCGGCGTTTCTCATCTCGAGTTGTCCTGGGAGCCTCTGACTTCCTGACAGTAGAGCCCAGGGTGATCAGACCAAGGAAAAGACAAACAAGCAAAACCAGACTGTTTAGGGTGAAGATTATGCAAGATTTAGCAGCTATTAAAATCACTCAAAATAACTAAGAATACATAAGGTCACTCACGGGGAATAAGGGTGGGTCCTGGGGGCAATGGAACGCTGGCTCCCTCCCTGCAATACTTCTTGTGGTGACATCATCACAAAGAACTGACCTGTGAAGATGTGAGTTAGGCTTTTGTCAGGACCTGGGACTAGGAACCTCACCAAGACCTTGGGACCCTTTTGAGAATATGCTCCCATCTGCTGATAAAGCAGCTTAGGCTCACTATATGCCCTTAATTTTTTTGGGGGGAGGGGGTTGGGGGGGAATGGGAGAGGTTCAGACATGGTTTTTCTGTGAAGCCTTGGCTGTCCTGGAACTTACTCTGTAGACCAGGCTGGCCTCAAACTCAAGAACAGCCTGCCTCTGCCTCCCAAGTGCTGGAATTAAAGGTCTGTGCCAGCACTGCCTGGATTAAAGGCATTCACCACTACTGCCCAGCAACCCTGATCTCAGTAATTACTGAAAGTCAAGTGCTAAGGCCCAGAGCCCCCAGCCACATTCCACAGCCCAGTCCCACTAGCTGCCATCCTTGTACAGTATCTCACCGGTACTGGGAGGGGTGGCCTGCCCCAGGAGTGCCTCTGAGCCCTGGGTGGTAACAACAGCAGTTGTACTTCCAGATGTGGTACCCCCTGACCCATCTCCCACTGCGGTGCTGGGAAAGTAAGTATAATGTGTTTCAGCGGCTGTTCCCTCCGTGTCAACCGCATCGTCACTGGTGAAAGCACCCTGGATCACTGCCTGAGAAGGGAAACGAGCGGAGTCCAGTCAGGCAGGGACACAGTTCTACGCTATCACCCTGAAGTTTCTATCCCTACCAGAAGGAAGGAAAAACACAGAAAGCCTTCAAAGATAGCGACAAATGCAACCCCAACACAAAATTAAACTTACTTCAAATACGATCTGTAGTTTTTTTAATTCAATTGTGTGGGGTTTTTTAGATTTATTTTTATATGTATATTTTGCCTGAATGTATCTATGTGCACTATGTGTGTGCCTACTGCCTGAGGAGGCCAGAGGAGGCCATTTGATACCCTGAAACCAGATGGCTGTGACCCACCATGTAGATATTTAAGAACTGAACTCAGGTAAGTTTGTAAGAGCAGAGTGCTCATAACTGCTAAGCCATCTCCGCAGCCCCGACTGCATGTGCATGATGGCTCATGGGCACGATCTCTGTAGATGACAGGGTCATCTCAATGACAAAAGGTTGACTACATCTGAAGCTAGTTAGTGCTTTGGGTCAAAGCCACCCAAGATGCATGCGCTGTTCCTAATCCCACCCCTCCTTCCTACTGGCTCCTCCCCAGTCCTCTCACAGCCTATCCCCCTGTACCTGGGTCATAGACTGAGTGGCAGGGTAGCCACTGATGGCGCCAGTGCCCTCTGTCTGGCCATCCAGCTGCCCCTCAGACACCTGGATCACCCTGTACATCACCTGGAAGCAAGAAGAAGGGGGAGAGGTGGGAAGAGAAGATAAGAGTAAGTGCCCAGGTCCTACGCCCTCAGACAGGGCCTCCTGGATTGAGTCCCAGGAGTCCTTCAAAGACAGAGTCAGCGATTTGCCCCTTCTTTCCCAGCCCCACACCAATCTCTACTCTCAGCCTCCTATTAACATGTCATCCCCATCACACACAGTTTCATCTCATTCTCCAAGCCGCAGCTTCCCAAAGTATGTTCAGGCACCTCCCTTGATCCCAACCCCAGGTAACGTCTGCAGTCACCTGGCCCCCTCCCTTACCTGGCCCCCATTCTCAGTTCGGAAGACGTACTTGACGTTGGGGTCGGGGAAAGTAGCAGCTGACTGGATGCTGGCAATAGCTACACTAGTTGGGTCCTCTCCAGTGGCCACTGCACCTAAATCAAAAGAGGCACAGAGAGATCTGTGAGTTACCTGCCTCCCCCAGTCTACTTGCGTGTCGTTTAAAAGACACGCGGTGTGGAGAAGATGGCCAGTCGGCTGAGGCGGGGAGGCTAGGGTAGGCTCTTGGTCTGAACATTCACCTTCCTGGATCTGCACTGTCCCCTCTTCGGCTTCAGCTGTCTTCTGCTGCCTATTTGTGGAAAAACAAAGGGGAGATGTGAGACGCTCATGACTTGTCCACAGTCCCAAACTCACTGGCTGAATTCACAACAGATGTCAGGTGAGGTTAGATTAGACAATGGCAGTATTTTACTGCGGGAAATGACAGTTACTGCCAGTCATGGTGGCGCATGCCTTTAATCTCAGCAGTCAGGAGGCAGAGGCAGGCGGATCTTTGTGATTTTTGAGGCCAACCTGGTCTACAGAGTGAGTTCCAGGACAGCCAGGGCTATGTAGATATATTCTGTCTCAAAAACAAAACAAATTAAAACAAAAAACTAGTAAACTAAGTGTTTACCATGTACATAGACATCAGGCTATAAGCACTTTTTTTTCTTTTTGGCTTTTCAAGACAGGGTTTCTCTGTGTCGTCTTGGCTGTCCTGGATGGAACTTGTTCTGTAGACCAGACTGGCCTCAAACTCAGGAGATCAGTCTGCCTTTGTCTCCCAAGTGCTGAGATTAAAGGCATGTATCACCACCACCTGGCATACTACCTTGACACTAATAACACATGAAATCAATAGTGCTCTACTATTTTATAGATAAGGAAACCAAATCACAGAGCTGGTAAGTGATGGAGTTGGGGGACCCAAATCCAGTTCTGCCTCTGGAGGAGGCCATACCTCTCTCCTCCCAGACTCCACTTCTTCACTTACCCCTTCATCTCTCTGTGAGGGGGCTCATCCGAGGAACTGGTCTTTTTTTGGAAGTCTTCGTATCTCCTGACTCAAAGGCCTGAGTGCTAAATCCTGGTGGAAATTATAGAGTTTACAGTGAGGCTAGGCAACTGAGCAGCTCTCCAAGTTCTGGAACCTAGGCTCCAAGAAGACAAAGGCAGGAAAATGAACCAATTATCTGCAAAGGACAGTCAACTTCCCCAGTTCTGATGGCAAGGGCTGGCCTGCAGTGATTGAAAAACAACTCCTCATGAGACACAGTGGCTCACTCCTGGAATCCTAACACTGAAGGGAATGAGATGGGGGATTGGTACAAGTCTGAGGCTAGTTTTGGCTACAGAATGAGACTTTAGAGAGAAAAAGAACCAGGTGTGCTTGCCCACACCTGTAATCCCAATACTTAGGAGATAGAAGCAAAAGAATTAGGAATTTAAGGTCATCCTGGGTTTCAAAGCAAGTCTTAGGCCAGGTTGGGCTACAAGAACTTGTCTCAAAAACAAAAACAAACACACACCATAAAGTGGGGAGACGGCTCAGGGGTAAAAGCACTTGGATGGAAGCCTGACACCTGAATTCTAAAACCCACATGAGAAAGGGATGCTGTAGTGAGAGCATCTCTGAGTCATAGTGCACCTCGATGGAGAGATGAGCAGTAGACATAGGATCTCTGGAAGCTGGGTGGCAAGTCAAGGACCGACACCCCAAGGTTGTCCTCAGAACAAAAGAGACAAATCAGGCTGCTAAGGTGGCTCAACAAGCTGGACAGTAGCAGTGCACACCTTTAATCCCAGCACTGGGGAGGGAAAGGCAGGCAGGATCTCTGTGAGTTCAAGGCCAGCCTGGGCTACAGGGAGAGTGATGTGGAAGATCACTTTAACTAGGTAAAGGTGTGTTACATTTGTTTATGCTGCATTTGTTTAATTATGTAAAGATGTGTTGCTGTTTCACCTTGCCTGCCTAAGGCACCTGATTGGTCTAATAAAAAGCTGAACAGCCAATAGCTGGCAATAGAGGGATAGGCAGGGCTGGCGGGCAGAGAGAATAAGTAGGAGGAGAAATTTAGGCTTGGAGAAGAGGAAAGAGAGAAGAGAATGAGGGAGAGAGGAACATCCCCAGGGCCAGAATCCAGGCAGACAACAGCCAGCCAGACACAAAGGAAACAGAAAAGACATACAGAATGAAAGAAAGGTAAAAGACCCCAAGGCAAAATGTAGATGAAGAGAGACAGGTTAATATAAGTTATGAGAACTGACAAGAAACAAGCATAAGCCCCAACATCCACCCTATCTATGATCTGCTGGAGCACATGAAGGGACCTGACCTGTAGACCCAAAGCTGCAGGATCTCCAGGACACAGGGCAACAGCAGGATAACCAAGAGGAGTCCCAGTGAGGGCCCAGCATCCACAGTGTAGTAGAGACCAGAACCTCGAACCAGACCAATGACTCTTAGCAATGAACACTTGCAAGATACACTGACAAAGGGGTTTACTGCGTGACTGTGTCACACTGCAGCCTCCGTGAGATTTTTACCCCTCCCTTTTCTCTTAAATTTTGTTTTATTTGGGGAGGGGTGCAGGGGTTGAGGACAGATGTGAAGGGATGGGGACATGAATGGATCAAGATACATGATGTGCCAGGCAGTGGTGGGCACATCTTTAATCCCAGCACTCGGGAGGCAGAGCCAGGCGGATCTCTGTGAGCTCAAAGCCAGCCTGGTCTACAGAGCAAGATCCAGGACAGACACCAAAACTACACAGAGAAACCCTGTCTTGAAAAAAATAGCCCCAAGGCCAAAAAGGCACATAAAATAAATAAAAAGTAAAAACAAGCATAAGATGTATAATTCAGCTAATATTTGGCTTAAAAGGGCTTATTGGGAAATGTTATCATTTTTACTGTTTTCTACAGAGAAAATATTTTCCAGTTTCAAATAACTCTGGACTTTGGAATTACAACCTGTTTTTATGTTAAAAAAAAAAAAAAAAAAAGCCGGGTGGTGTTGGCGCACGCCTTTAATCCCAGCACTCGGGAGGCAGAGGCAAGCGGATCTCTGTGCGTTCGAAGCCAGCCTGGTCTCCAAAGCGAGTTCCAGGAAAGGCGCAAAGCTACACAGAGAAACCCTGTCTCGAGAGAAAAAAACAAAAAACAAAAAACATTTAAGTGGAAAATGCTGAAGGACCACTGAACTCGATGTTGTATTTACATATCTATATCTGTATAAAATGATTATAAATGTTGTTTAAAAAGGTGAAGTGCAAATGTGAATTTAATAAAAGTTGTAGATTTTCAACACTGTATACAAACCCCTTTATTGTAAATAAATATTTATGCTTAAAAAAAAACAAACAAATGAAAACAAGCATAAAGCCGAACATTCATAACTAGTGTTAAATTTCTGTGTCATGATTTGGGGGCTGGCAGTCAAAGAAAGTCTGCTACAATCTAGAACTACAGAGAAACCTTTTCTCGAAAAACCAAGAGAGAGCAAGAAAGCCAACTCTTGAAAGCTATCCTCTGACCTCCATAGCCCAAACACATGTATGCACACGCACACACCATAACTTTTTTTTTTAAAGCAAATTTTTAAATAATGTTCTTTGCTCCTTTCCCCCCACCCCCTTTGGTTTTGGTTAAGACTGTGTTTCTGTGTGTAGCTCTGGATGTTTTGGAACTCACGCTGTAGACCCGGCTGGCCTCGAACTCACAGAGATCCTTCCTGTCTCTGCCTCCCTGAGTTCTGAGATTAAAGACGTGCACCTGCAGCTCCTCCAAATTCATTCCAAGAGGGGAAGGAGATAATTATACTGGAAGGCTGAGAAATAATGTATTTCAAGGTACAGTATTGAAGCAATTATGGATTATTACTAAAGCTATTATACTCTGCTATGACAGCATTTTCATAGGAATAGCTAGGGTCATATTTAGACCACCACTATTAAATAACACTCACTACGGTCCCTGATGCTTCTTCCAGCTTCTTAGACACAAACTGTACAATAAGAAATTGTAAGCCAGGCAGTGGTGGTGCACATCTTTAATTCCAGCATTTGGGAGGCAGAGGCAGGCAAATAGATCTCTGAGTTCGAGGCCAGCCTGGTCTACAGAGTTCCAGGACAGCCAGGACTACACAGCGAAACCCTGTCTTGAAAACTGAACAAACGCCAGGCAGTGGTGACAGCCAGGACTACACAGCGAAACCCTGTCTTGAAAACTGAACAAACGCCAGGCAGTGGTGGCGCACACCTTTAATCCCAGCACTCAGCTCCACTGAGAAACTAAAGCTACATAGAGAAACCCTGTCTCGAAAAAAAAAAAAAAAAAAACCAAAACGAAAAACGAACAAACAAAAGAAAAATTCTAGTCCTCACCAGGCGTTTTGGTGCTGGCCTTTAATCCCAAGCACTCAGGAGGATCTCTGTGAGTTCCAGGCTAGCCTTATCTACATACTGAGTTCCAAGACAGACAGGGCTCTGCAAATAGAGATCCTGTCTCAAAATAAAATAACAACAACAAAAAAATTCCAGTCCTCAAATCTAGAAAGGGAAAAACTGGACCGTCTTTTTGCCATTGAAAAACCATTACTAACCACAAAACCTAGATTTGGCTCTTGGGCACCATTCTACTGTCAGGGCTCTTGTTTTGGGGGAGTCCAGATTTACAGCATCTGTTACAAACTCTAAAGCCCAAGTGCATCATTTCAAAGCTTCTTTATTTTATTCATCAAGGCTTCCTGTAGAGAAACACAGTTGCTACAATGTTGCCATGACAACTCCAAATCAACTAAGCCTCAGGAGGAAGGGGGGGAAAATCCAGGCTCAGGATTCTGAAGGAGAAAAGACAATGGGGGAGGAATCCATCTACAATGTTTCTGCCTTAGGACTCTTGACACCCCGCCAGAGAACCGGAAAAACAAAGAACTGAGCAGACAGATGCCTCCCGAAAGAAACAGCTGCACAGTACAAAGCAATAAAATCATCTCAACAAGAAAGGGGCAAGATTTTTGTAAATTCTCTACCCGAAAGATCCTCCAAAACCTTTCTAATCCAAAGAAAATCTTAAGTTTAGCGGATAATAAACCTTGGAAAGCCCGCGTGCAAAGAAAATGGTAACAACAATAACAAAAAGGAACAGAAAGTGAAACTGCCCATCCAAAGTAATGCTGCAAAGGGAGGTAGCACCAGCGCTTGGGGACCACCTAGGTCTCCATCCTCAAATGCCAGGAAGAAGAGTGCCTCCGAAGCTTGTTGCATGGCCTGCAGGAGGAGGCAATGAAGAGAAGGCAAGGCACGGGAGGCAACTGTATAGCCCACAGCTGTCAGACAGAGCAACTTCTGAGGCCACCCAGCAACGGCGTCATGCTACTTACTCAAATCTTGGTTGTACATCCGGAAGCGTTTCCTGAGCATTAAGAATATGTGACACGGAAATCAGCATAGGATGTTGTGGTTTGCACGCTCAAAAGGAGGGCCCAGCAAACGCCCTCGCCAAGCACGGACGCAAAGGCAAAAAAAAAAAAAAAAAAAAAAAAAAAAAAGGATCAAGTTCCGAAAGACTTCACGCGCCCGGACGTTGCCAGAGAACGAGGCGTCTCCCTGCAGGCCCACCAACTAGTAGTAGGCGCTTGGGGAGCGGGGCACCCGCCAGGCGCGAGCCCCGAAGCCCGCGCGGTGACCCTGTCGGCCCAGCCCGGCTCGCCCCGCGCCCCAGCTGCTCTGCAGAGGGGACAGGAAAGGACGCGGGGGACCTCCCCAGGCCTGCGGCTGGCAGCTGCAGCCGGTGGCAGGACACCGCGGGAGGGTGGGACGTGTGCACTCCGGGGCGGGGAGCGAGCTCGGCCCACAAAGCCGGGCAGGAGATAAAGAGCCCGGCACAGTCCCCTCCCCCAAAACAAAGGCTGGGTGGCCAGGCGTTGCCTGGCCTGAGAAAAGGAAGCCAAACCCAAGCTGCCCCGCCTCGCCGCTCCACCTCGTCTCCAGATTCCAGCTGCCTCCTACGCACTCACCGACCCAGGCCGCTTTAGTCGCCAATTTCCCCCGGCAGCGTTCTCCCTCTTTGGATCTAGGTCTCGCCATAGACAGCTGCTCATGCGCAATCGCAGCCTGCGGCCATATTGGTGAGGGGCGGAAGTGTTTCCTCGGCCCGCCCAGACTACTGATGGCCCCAGAACCGCCCGGTTTCCGTTCGCTGCAAACTTTGATGCGGGCTAAATTAGACGTGGGGGTGTGAGTTTTTACAGGCTCCTAAGAGAAACAGTATCCTTGGGGACGTCGCTGGCGTTCTAGCTGTTTTCAGCAAGAACCAGAAAAAAAAAAAAAAAAGACTAAATTGTACTTCCAGCTTGGGGCTAGGCGGAGCCTTTTTAATTCCACTAAGAGGAAGTAGGGGAGAAATGGCGCTTCTCGGCGCCATCTTTAACAAGGGCAATTTGGGACGCCATCTTGGTTCAGGGCATCTTTTTGAGGGGTTCCAAGTGAGCATTGGGACATTTCTGGGCATATGTAGATCTGGGTATATTCCTTTGAACTAGCGTCAGCAATCCCCAAAGACTTAATAGCTTCCAGTTTTTCTGAGGCTCATATGTAACAATTTTGATTACCATTTTTCTCACTCAGGGTGTATACCTATAATGGTTTTGGAGTAGTCAAGTATAATAGCTAGAATTCAGATTCTGAAACCATTCAGACCTCGATCTTAAATCCACAACTGACACTTCCTTTTTTTTTCTTTTCTTTTTTCGTTTTTTTTTTTTTTTTTTTTTTGAATAGGATCTTTATGTAGTTCTGAACTGTCCTGTATTGACCAGGCTGTCCCCTCTGTCACTTAGATCCCCCAGCCTCTGCCTCCTGAGTGCTAGGATTAAAGGCATGTGCCACCGGAAACTGCCACTTCTTAACTCTGAGATCTCTGATAAGCATTTTTACTTAATTACAGCTTAATATCCTCATCTGTAAAATGGAAATGCTAATACCAGCTTCACCAAATTAAGTGGATTAAATAAATTCAAGGGCAAAGTTTTTATGCACACAAATCTAGCCTAATTCCTGGCATGAGATGAACATTATGTAAATAAGGGTTTCTCTTCCCCATTTCTTGACCACCACGAACCTAGTTCTACTTTCTAACCGCAGGTTTCCATGACAACTGAGGAAGAATATCTAAACAAGATATATACATTTCGGCAACATTCAAATGTGATACCTTTCCCCCAGGCTTTAAGAAGCATAAGTCCATACACTGTTTAAGTGTAAAATATTCAACTTTTATTATCAAACAGCCACCATCACTAAATGGGGCCTGTAGCCCCTGCCTGTGCAAAGAAGCAGTACCAGGGCCAGAGTGATGGCCAGACATTCCCTTTTCCTGAAATGGGAGGAGGTTATTGTAATGGGAAAAAGAAAAGCCAGAGAGATCTGTACCGGACCTCTTCTGCAAAATAATTGAAGGCAGAGGATGCCATCCATTTCCTTCAGTGAACAGTGAGGACTTTAAAGAACTTCCTGGACATGTTTCTCCTAATCTAGAGCTAAAAGAGTCAGGAGATAGCCGAGGATCTGGAAACAAAACATGGGTGAACAATTCTGTATCTGACCCTGTGTTCTCTTCATCTACCCTAGGCTTCTATGAAGAGAAGTTCACAGCCTCAGAAGGGGGCAGGAGTTTGGCTGGAATTCCCCCTCTGTATTTAAATTTAAGAAAAAAAAAGTTTCTATCTACTCTATGTTTTGGTTAATAATCACAACTTCATGGGAACAAGACTTTCCCATATTTCTTAAGACTCTGCTAAGAGACAAATGCTTTGTGTCTAACACAAACTCAAGTAAACCCACCAAGGCTTTTAGCCCTGTGGTCAAAACAAGTAGCTGGAGGACCCAAGCCTATGGCACTTCAGCTGCTGAGGCAGGGGCTGCAGAGATTGATAATTTTCTAGGCCTCTTGTCCAGCCCTAATCACAGCCCTTCTTTCCCATGGTTAGTCTGTGTTTCAAACGCATATGTCTGGCGCTGAGGGGACATAAGAGGGACAGTGGGGTGAAGCTCTCTAGGGGGCAGACTAAGCCGACTTCTGGGCTCAGACCCTTCTCTATCTTCAGGTGGGAGTTCCAGACAGCTAAAGGGCCGGGAAGAATGGACAGGAATCATGCTGCAAGGAGAGGTTCTGGAGTTGAAGCTATAATCCCCACCCCCAGTACAAGTCTGGGTGCGCCGAACTCCCTGAGCCTCAGTCCTCTGGCGTTCCCGGGCCAGGGCCACAGCAGCATCAAAGGAAAGACTACCTCCATTCCTCCAAGAAGCACGAGATGCCCAAGCCCTTTCTCCAGGAGTCCCATCAAGCCTACCAGGTCTTGGACAGGGGCTTGCAGGTGATACGTGAATCTTACTGCACATTGCACTGGGCATCTTGGCAAACTGTGGCTTAGGGGGCACTACAGGAACAGAGCGGACCTGTTGGACCTGAACTAGGCTGGAAGCCAGACGCATACCCACACCACCAGTTGAACCACAGGGACAAGAATACAGGTCACATCCCTCAGGACTGAGCTGTCCCTCAGCCTCCATCCCCTCTGGCTCAGATGGCTGTGGAGGGCCTTGTTCCACCTTAGAAGACTGTTCATTGACTTCTCCTGTACTGTCATCCTCCAGGAACTCTATACCTGGCCCTTCAGAGAGGGTCGCCTCTTCTAAGTGATCACTAACAGCTCTACTGCCTTCAGTTTCTACATCTATACTTTTTTGTTCCTTGCTGACCTCCCCTTCCTCCCCCTCAGCATCTCCTTCTGGACTTACACTATCTTCACCATGTCCTTGGTCTTCTCTTGACTTGTGGTCACTATTCCCCCTCAGTCCTTGGATCTCATCCCTTTTGTCTTTCTCAGCCTCTTGTTTGTGTACAGCTTCCCAGCTCTCTCCAGGAAGCAGATACTCCTGGACTGAATGCTCTGGATCCATCCCAGAGTCTACTGGGATGTCCTCTCTTTTCTCAGCTCCTTCTTTTCTCCCAATCTCTCCTTCCTTCTTGTCTTTATCCTCTTCTCTTGTTTTCTCCATATCCTCAGTCTCTATACTTGAAACCACTTGACCTTTGGAATTTTCTTCCTTGGTCTCTATCTCTTCACTACTCCCTTCTTCCAAACTACCCATCACCATTTGGCTTCTTTGAGCCTCCCCTCCTTCCTCATCAGCTTTTCCAGCTTCCATCTCAGTCTCTGGAATTGCCTCAGCATCTTCCCTGTTATCCGATGTGCTTCCAGGCTCAGCCTCCTTGTCCTCTTCAGCTTCCCAGCATGCCTGTTTTTCTTCAGCCTGGTTTGGATGTTGTTCCCCACACCTTGTCGCCTCGTCCTCCAGACTCCCTACACCCTCCCAGTTCATGGGTCTAGGCCCCAGAAGGGGACTCAAGTCATCATAGGCACTCAAGAAGACTTCTTCCCCATTTTCCTCTTCCACTTCAGGTGTAGGGCCAGCAGAATCAGGGGAACAGCAGCTAGGAGCCAAGACGTACTGGGCATCATCCAGAGACAGATCATCCAGGGGCGGTTCCACAGAGAACTCTTCCACCTGTAGGCATAGCATTGTGGCTAAGCACCAGGGAGCCCTACCCACTCTCTAGGCTACACACTACCCGAATACCCAACATGGCTCCTCCTTACCTGAGGCCCAACTCCCAGGAGCTCCTCCAGGTAGCCCATCCCAGGGTCGTCCTCCCCAAGGGAGAAAGCTGCTGCTCCTGCGGCTCCTGCGGCTCCTGCCTTGGCCACCTCCCTGTCCTCCACCCCCACCCACTCAGGCTCTGAGCTGCTCAAGTCCTCTAGGAAGGAGAAGGAATCCTGCACCTCCTGGGACAAGGAGTCCTCCAGGGCAGGAGTCATATCTTCTGGGCTTGAGTCAGCCAGGGGACCTGGGACTGATCTTGCCTCCGACTTCTCATCTGTTGAAGGAAAGGCAGTTCCAGAAATCCAAAAGTTAAGGTCAGGCCCAACCCTTTCTGATATGGGTGTTTCTCACACTGATATGCTAGGGGCCCACCACTCCCTTTATATAGTAGATAGTCATTCTGGTCTGAGAGGATGAGCCATGTGTACTAACTACTTATAGCTCTCTTCATTAATTCTCACTCAAGTGCCGAGCACCTTGGCTTGTTTGAGTATTTGTTTGTTTATTTGTTTTTTGGGTTTTGTTTTTGTTTTTCTTCAAGACAGGGTTTCTCTGTGTTGTTTTGGTGCCTATCCTGGATCTCACTCTGTAGACCAGGCAGGCTGGCCTCAGACTCACAGAGATCAAGCTATCTCTGCCTCCTAAATGTTGAGATTAAAGGCATGCACCACCATGACCAGCTCTAAGCATTGTGTTTTATATTTTTATAATGAATTTTTACATTTTCCCTATAGAATAAAATGTTGTGTAGAGGGGCTGGGTAGATGGTTTGGTTCATAAAGTGATTATATGGAAATAATGAGGACCTGAGTTTGATCCCCAGAATTCCTGTAAAATAACTCTGGATAAGTTGGTGTGC